TGTGCAGACCAGGCCACTGGCTCCCAAGCCACCTGGTAATCCCCGTGATATTACTGCCATGTCCGAGTTTCCAACTATGGGAGTTCCAAGACAAGCTTCTCCTGCAGCAGACCTTCTGATACCAGGAAAAATGTTTCGAGAAATGGAGGCCGGATGGTATCAGCGTGTGAGGGATCTGGAAGCTGATCTGCATCGACGGTATGAGAAGAGCTCCAAAAGGCTCAATAAAGAAATTGAGCGGCGATCTGTAGAAATTGCCCAGCTTACTGTCAGTTGCCCACTCCTCATTTTCCTTCTATATCTGACATCTATCCTGTATAGGGTCTGGCTTTAGGCTGGGAAACCGAGAGAATGAAGATGGAGGAGAATTTCAATCTCCGGGGGGCCTTGGGTATTCCATTACACAGTCCACCTATCGGCTTGTGACTAATATTTGGTTATAGAAAGAATCGCCTATCATGGGAGATTGTTAAAGGAAATTAAATGCCCTCACCAACTAGGCGTTCAGCCCGCGCTGGACGAACTCGCCAAGACAGAAAGATTCCAGACGCGTCTGGCAGCAGAAGTAGCGACACGTCACCTTGTAAAAAAGGATGTTGCCCGTTCCATTGCTGGTGTATATCACCAAGTCTCCCGATTAGCGCATGGGAATTCGGGTATGGTTACTATTTTTGAGGAGGATCATACTCCCAATGAACGTGCTGTGCTGGCTACTTTTCTGGGGGTTCAGGGTGAGTGGAAGGATTGCCTCAAGTGGGAGGTGAAAAGGGGAGAGTAGACTAGGAACTGAGAAGATAATTCTTCCTTTTTTGTAATTTTAATATTAAAACAGTGGCTGCAATACGTGATCAAGACTTTTAACATGCTCTCTATATCATATCTTCCTTTAATCTACATTGTGCTTCCATTACTATCGCTGTTCTCACTATTGTCATTGAATATATCTATAATCTCCAGGTATTCGCAATCCTGCCAACCTGTCAAATAAAACCTATTATAGGCTGATGATATGGTTGACGCAGATTAGAGGTCTAGTGCAGATGGTGGATTCGGCGCATTAATATGGGAACAAGTGCCCCCAGATCCCTCACATCTATTCCCAACGGCATATGAGTGCGGGTTTTGGCCGGAATTATAAGGCCTGTCAAGCTTGACCCCTTCCCGTCCGAGCGGTATTTCCACCACCTCATAGTGTCCATTCCGGGCAGCAGGAAGGAGCAGGGTGAGGGCGAAATTATCAGGTTTGTTTGAGGTGACCTCTTCCTGCCCGAGCAGTATTTTCACCACCTCCTCATTTCGTCATCGGTACTCGGTCATTGTTATTTGGCCCGTCGGGGTTGACCCCTTCCTGTCTAAGTATCACCCCCACCAAATCCTGACTCCCCAACCAAGTGGCATATGAGAGCATCGTTCGGCCAACATTATCTTGCTTGTCAGAGCTGACCTCGTCCCACCGTAGCAGTATGTTCACTACTCCCTCACATCCATTCTAAGCAGTAAGCGAGGGCAGTGCTTGGTTGGTACTGCTAGGCTTGTCCTTGTCGACCGCTTCTTGCCCTCATATCCATTCCAAGCGGCGAATGAGAGCGGTGTTTGGTCATAATTATTTGGCTTGTCGGGGTTGACCACTTCATGGCCGAGCAGTACCTTCACGATTCCTTCGCACCCAAACCAAGCGGCATATGAGAGGGGAATTCGGCCATAATTGTCAGGTTTGTGAGGGCTGACCTCTTGTCTCCCAAGTGTTTGGAGAACAGAAAAAAGTCATCAGGGGCGGAGACCTGGACTTCCTGATGTCAAAGATGTTATAAGCTATTACGTCCTCGAAGCACATATTCGTGTCCATTGACACTATGGACGAGTGTGCCAATGTGTAACTAGTCAAGCTCCTGGGCTCCCTGAAACAAATCCACGAGAGGTCCCGGGTCATGCGAGAATTTGTAACCGGGAGGCACTATATTCGGGCTGAGATCGAAAAGTGTCTTTCTGGACAAGTTACAACGGTATCCGTGGGTCATAAAAAATGTGATATTACCACATACCTTCGTAGTAGGCTCGGCGAGGACGAAACGCCAGCTACCATGGATGAGAGTCACTTCCTTGCTCGTGATTGTGGGAATGCTCCCTTCATGGTTGCTGGTTATAGTGCGCTGTATTTCCTGATGGCCACTCATGGAGCAATGGGTCGCCTCACCATGGTTGGTGGTGGTGGGGGTGGTAGGCTCTGGATGCCGAGTGCCCGATACGACTTCTAGTTTCGCCTTCTCTTCCGTAAAAGCAAGTGCGATGACAACCGTGGTTTCTCCCTTTGTATGAAGAAGCCATAGACGAGCATCCTGCACTGGGTCTTCAAACGACTCGGCCTAACCCGCCTCCCATACAACCGTGGAGAATCTTCTTCCTGGGAGTTGAATGTAGGAATCTGGAAGCTTTCTGGTGATGCCAAATCGGCTCCCGTAAAACCAGAAAAGGCTAGAAAATGTTAGTTAAATTGAATTAAAAATGGGATATATGGTGGCTCATACCGGTTCCAGAACCGGCGACAGTTACCATATTTTCCACCTGTTGTCTACCAAACCTTTCCGCTAGCGAGAAGAGAATTTCTCGGCCGAAATATATGTGTAGCGATTCGTGGGTCAGGAGTGCCAGACATTGGATTTGAACAGTTTGGCTCAGATAACTGTATTCAAATCACGGGTCATCACTCTCCAGCATTTCCTGGTTTTCATTAGCCCAGTTTGCGAGCAGGTAATTTTCAATCATGCCGGATTTGTGAGTTCGTTCATTTCACTCCTGAAATGGCAACCTCCTTCCCGACGGAAGACCGGATTGAGGCGCCGGAACCCCTTGGAGCTTAGCGGACATGATGTCGGGGAAAAGGTGGTTTCCATTCGCGGGTACAGCTGCAGGGTGATGGATGTTGTCGGTGGAGCCTTTGCCTGGGTTGTAGGCAGGTTTGGGGGCAGTTAGGTGGGGCTTGGGTGTTACTGGAGGTGTTGGTGTTTTCGGTCGAAGTCTTTTTTTCGGCGATCGAATTGCGGGTATGTGACCGCTACTCCGTTGACCTGCGTAGTATGAGAGAGTTGAGCCTTCAACAGAACTGCCATTTTTAATCTCAATTGTGATAGGTCTCCACCGGTAGCAATCGGAGTAGTCACTATTACACAATGTGCTCATTGTATAACTAATATCTGGGATAGAAAATAGAGATGACCCACGTTATTAGGTAGAAGAAAAAAAGAGGCAAATATTGAGCTCAGAATCGGGTCATAGGGGAAAAGAACCGGAGGGTGAGGGAGGAGAGAGGGGTGGGGGTGGATGGTTAAAGGGTGGTATATGCACCAGGTTGCATGTGAAAAACATCGACCTCTCACCTACCAAACCCAAGGTGCGCACTATTCATGGCGGGCCGAGCGGTGCACCCTCCCTCCCAGGACTGCTGCTCAACTTTTACTCGTGCCCTGAAACCCAGTACATCCCCCCAGAGCCCAAAACCGACCCCGTAAATTAGAGAGCCCAATTGAAAGCGTAGACGGGATCTGAACCTGGGTATTAGAGGCATCCGTGCAAGTTCCCAAAAATTGCAGTGGACCATTCCTACTGCCTAGAATAACATTGGTGGCCGTCGAGACGGAAGGATAATCATCCACTCATCAGGTCCATTCAGCAATGAATTTGGATGCCGTATGGGAGAGCACAGTATCTATTACCGGGACCACCCCTGCCTAGTGTTTCTAGCTATATTCATCAAGATCACAAAGTATCACTCGAAAAAGACCCATTTTCCCAGCACGAACCGTGAAGACACACTTCGCCGGTTCCGGTCCGGTGGATGCCACCGCCTGCAGGTAAGTTCCGCCGGAGCACGAGTGCCGTCAACACACTGGTACTATACTCATACCTCCGAGCCAAGAGTTGGCATCTCTTTTGGAATAGCCCCCGTGGACTGAATAAATACACTAATACAGCATGGTCTAGCTTAGCAAGTTCCTCGGTTTATTCAAAAACTCTTCCAGTTGTGAAATGTCCCTCTTACTAATTACATAATATTATTATAATCTTTTTCAGCTGGCGTTTCCAAGCATAGGGCCCCCCTTATGGTCGTGCTTGCGACTTAAGAGGAAACCCCGCGGTAGTCATCCAGAGGAGATACACCCATCGCCTTCATATCCATCATCACAACACCGAGCAAGCCCTTCACCAGATGCAACGCACCACGAACATAAACTCTTCGCCCGGCGGAACCGAGTAGCCTTTGCCAGTAAGGCTTAAAGGCTCAGGAATAATCTGCCATTTCCAGCCTGGTCAGAATGCCTGTTACTGCGGCGCTGGCCTTCGTCTTTTTAGTTTGATTAGGGGATGACAGAATCAGGGAGAGTGGGTGTTTAATGGGTTGAGCTTGCGATGGGGAGGTTTTACGTTTTCCGCAATAGTCATAACTTAAAAATAAATACAAATCCTGACCGTGACACTTGTAGTGGGGTTAGGGTGGTGCATTATTTACAAATATTTGGTAGAAGTGTGCACTACCAGTAGCATGTAGAAACAGTCCTTCACCAAATGCGAGGGTTTGTTCTCTGGTCAATCAAAACTCCCTCGTTCTGACACTGCTGCGACATACTTAATTCCCTGCAAAACGAGCACTCCCCTATAATAGTCGGGGAAAGCAAGTGTGACGGGAAAGCGAGTGTAACGCTCAGCTTTTTTTTTTTTATGGGATAGGCTAACATAATACAGGTTCATAACTGCAAATTATTTAGTATAATAACCTGTATTATGTAAGCTTATCTTACGAAAAGAGAAGAAAAGGTTGGGCGTCACACACTTGCTTTCCCGTCACACTTGCTTTCGCCGACTATTATTATAACCTCGAGATGATAATGAAATCCCTCAAGTAGAATGTTTCCCCAATGTCCTGGATGGGTGATAGGGGTTATAGTTGATTTTGGGAATGGGAGGAGACCTGTATATTGGAGGCACATGAGGAGGAACCGCGATGGTCCTTGTGGCAATGATGTATTAGGATTCTGCGATTACATAAGACTAATAGAGAACAATAGTGGGGTTGCGTGGTGTAGTTGGTTCTACACCACATTGTGGAAATACTCCCTCACCACTGAACCCAACTCGGTAAATGTTCACAAGGGCCAACCTTATCCCTATTTCAGTCACGGTGTTTATTCCACCTCCTAGCCCCAAAATGTCTAAATGGTGGCTCACCCCCCCCCCGCCTGTACTCGTACTCGAGTACCGTACTGACGGAACTGCGGCCAAGACCGCCTTCTACTTAAAAGGACAATAACGCCTCCTACTCAAGCAAATGCTTCGCAGATCCTCGGGTCAGAGATGTCTATGGGCCGGGTCACCATCCGACTACCCCAGCCATTCCCCTTCAAGTAAAGCATTCTTCCGGCTTTCGAGCTAAAATTCCGTGAACTTTAGCATACAAACGAAGAGATCCTCCACAAGGGGAAGGTGAAGCACATTAATTAGCTAAGTCAGCATTCTATGAGTGAACCCATCTCTTCAATATGTGATATATGAATTAAGCAGGGCGATCAATTGAAAAGAAGATAAAGTGGAAGGAAATTAAATTAAATAGACTTGCCCATTCTATCACTGCTTGATTGCCTAGCGTACTAAACAAATTCCCATACCACCGTATTCTATGCGCCAATTGATGGGGAAAAAAAGAAAAAAAAGTCTATCAGCGTCATTGCCAATTAATCAACCCCGAGGCAATGGAGAGAGTCGCATCTATATCATACCAATCAGTGACTTATCTTTTCAAATGAATGGACTCCACTGCAGTTACCTATGTCCAAGCCTACTTCTTGGCGGCCTGGTAATAATCGAACCCACCTTTCAAGACAAACCCAACAAGAGTAGTAATAACACCGTAGAATATACGGTCAATCTTACTATCGGTCTTGTCAAATTTTTTATCCGTCTTGTTGCCAAGGTCTTTAATATCAGCTCTCATCTCGCTCTGTCCGGATTGGATGTAGTCGAGCTTCAGTTTGATGTTGGAAACATCCTAAGAAATATTAGCACAATATCCCGTATCTGAACTCTAGTTTCCGATCACACCTTATCAAGGTTGGCAAAGTCTTTCGAGGTAACGCCTGGCGGGGACCCCGAGCCAGCACACCCACCGCTGGAATCATGATGGTAATCGTTATCATGATGACTGTCACTATCGGTGTTTCGTCCCTGCAACACCCAGTTAGTGTACAGTTTGTATGCTACCGAAACCCCGATCTTACCGGAACGGTGCTAAAGCCCCTATGTGGACGGTAGGGGTGAATGCTGATAGCCTTGAACGTTTGTTTGTTGATAATGAGCCTAAGCATGATGTTCGGCTACAGTTTCTCGTCAATTTGGCGAGAGTCAGTCTTCAATGCTCTTGCCAGTAAGAGAGATAAAGTGACATTAAACAAACTCACCTTGTCGTTGTGCAATATCCGTCCTGCCCGCTGTCGGCTCTGTGATGTCGCTGCTTCTCAGATGGGAGGGGGGGTGAAGAAGCTTTGTCGGAATACGGTCACTCCCGGGGGCACGACGAAAATGGGTGAGTGACGAATGGGGATCAGTAACGGGCAAATTTTTGTTACCCTACTTCAACACGCTCAACGAACAGGCCAGGCAAAATCACCATTTGCCACTACACTTTTAGTGTATTGTTCGTTGAGCCCCCGTGTTCGCTGACCCCCCCTTCTGGTAACGAATAACCTTTTTTCCAGCCAAATACCCCTGTTCGGCACCTGCCCAGTTCCGTCGTGCGCCCAGTGGTGGCTGTACTCAAGTACCGGTACTGTATCGTACTCGTAGACTACTCACCTACTTCTTCTTGTCTGTCGGGATGATACATCACTTTGGCAGGTACTCGTACAGTAAAAACTCGGAAGCCTCCGTCTAAACAGCAATAGACCTAACAGAGTAGGTTAACAAAATCACGAATACCAGTTAATGAGATCCAACAATCTCAGCCTCCACAAGCTACAAGTACACTCTATCTGGATAATACTACTGTATTCTATCTCAGGGTACTTTGTCTCGGATTGCGAAGGCTGTGGGCCAGATTACGATACCGATGGTGGATTTAGCGAGTTTTTGCAGTATGTCGGGAGACGGGGTACAAGGCATAGGGATAAAGTATCTGAACAGTTAATTTAGGTTAACCCACAAAATAAACCCTGTTCCGTACGAAAACACTATCCCTGACACTTGTTTTTTTTTTTTTTTTTCGTTAAATCGTAGAATCTATTTGCTTAAAGGTGTAAACCTCCACTATAAGAGCACAGCCCAGCTAAAGCATGGATCCTAGATACAAGGGCACCTCTGCAATAACCGCCCCACACCCCTGATTTAGTCCTTAGACATGTTGGTCAAAAACCTCCTCCGCAGGCCCTTGGGAAAACAAGCCAGCCCAAGTCTCTCTGGTATGGAACTAACTGCACATCCGCCCCCATGAAAACTCCTTCTGCGCAAAACAAAAAAAGCACAAAACAGGACCGGCAGGAGCCAACAAGAAAACCCACACCATATTCTCTTGAGGAAGGAAACACATAAGAAACCCAACAAAGGAAACCACCTTGATAAACTATATTCCCCATTTTTTAACCTGTCTAGTATTAGGTAGTAGCTAGGAATATAGGGGAGAACCATGATGTGTTCGCTTTGTGTAATGAAGGCAGCCGACCTGGACATGCGGGCCTCTAGTAGAGTGATTGTTTATGGCTGATCGGATGCGGGCGTGACTAAAGGCAGTGCAATACCAATCACGCATTGCCGAGTAATCCATACATTAGTAAAGAAGTAAACCCGACTAAGTAAAAGAACCCAGAGAGGTGGAGGAGTATTTGCAACATCATACAGCTTAGCCAAATTGGCCACCATGGAGGGAGGGGGAGGACAGGAACCACAATTTGGCAAAGGGACCAAAGCCTAATAACAGAGGGAGTGAAAATTTTGTTTAGCCCCACAATGAGGTTTGGTATCCAGGTGTCACGAACGTGACTTGGCACGGAAAAGGTTTTTACATGACTCATGATTATGAGTCATAGGTATGTTATGGTTTCACACATATGACTCATTTAGGTCATATGACTTATTATGTTATGATTTGTTATGTTTCGTACATGACTGGATGATAAGTCATGAGACGTACACCTGGTATAACATGTTCACAAGGTGCTAATCACATTATCGGTTTTAGATACGATAGTTGGCAGGTGGCCTGCTCTTCCAGAGAGGAGGCGAGAGCTGAGAACTAAAGGAGGCTTCGAGGGTGTACTGAGGAACAAAGAAGTAACCGTTCAACCAAGTATATTGAAATACTACCTGTCAAAGTCTGCCTTTTCTGTCGTAGAAACAGGCGGTCTTTAAATACACAAATCTGTTCATATCTAGCATGAACGAAACTAATCAAAGGTATCAACTGATACACTTTGGTGAAACTAATTAAGTATCAAAGTGATACTTAAAACAAAATATAAAACAAAACCAAGTATCAAATGATACTTAAAACAAACCAAGTATCAAAGTGATACTTAAAACAAAACATAAAACAAAACCAATAACTGAGTACCTGTACTGGTTACCTTCCCCAAAATAAAATAATTGTTTAACCAAACAAAACCTAATAATCATCAAAAGTGGAATCAGAAAAATCAAAGGCTTCAATTTCTGCCATCTCTTCTTCATCCCAAGTGTCACACCAGGGACAAGAAAAAATCCTAAGAAAACATTTAGACCCCAAGAAATGCAGGTCACAGTAGTCACGAAACCCAGATTCATGCTGTACGATCTTGGTGACAAAATTCGTGGCCCCTCACCACCAACGACATATGAACGATCACAATAATAGAATAGAAAAACAGAGAATTTGAATACCATTATATAGTATGTAATACATTACATAGTAAAGAAAATTAAAATTTTGTTTGCATGCCTCTCTGCTCTCTACATTGTTTCAACCTATCAGGCATGGTATCAATCAATTGATTCCACTCTGATAGTTTCAGTCAATCCCATTCCTCCTGAATTGCGTTACGTATCTCATGATAGGTTCCGGGAAAGTGTCTTCGCGCCTTGATATGCTGCTTGAGGATCCTCCATACGTTCTCTATCGGATTGAGGTCCGGTGAAGCGGAGGGTGGTTCGTGTAGCGGAATGCCTAACTCCTTCTTGGGCTCTACAAGACCCTGTTTCGTCCCATGCCATGGTGCCTGATCTTCAACGAACTCTGCTTCTGGAGTAACAGAATAGTCCTCTACCGAACCACTAAATGCGGGACCCACAATTGGCTAAAGAGTTTGTTCCAAGTAGTCTTTCATAGTGATTCCACACTTGCCTGTCCCTTGAAGAAAGACCAAAGGCGACTTCCAATTATGGCTTATTGAACCCCATATGGCTACCGATGCCTGGCCACTAGTAAAGGAAAATTGGATACAATCCTTATGGTAGCGTTCAGTAGGGAGTCTGGTGACCCAATCAGAACCTCGACGAGAGGTATTAAAGGTTGACTCGTCAGAATAGATATGTTGCCGCCACCATGCCTTTGGCTTATCAGCATGTTTGGTCGCATAACTGAGTCTCTCCTTCTGAGCTTCCCAACCGATAAATGGCTTCTTACAAGCCTTACAGCATGTATAGCCTTCCAACTCAAGTGCACAATGGACTGTACGTCCAGATACCGACAATCCTGCCTGTTGTCCCAATTTCGTCCAGTAAAGTCTCCTCCTCTCCCAGTTCCTTCTGAGCACATGTATCAAATAGTTGATATCATGCTTTGTGAGGCTGCGTAGCCGACCGGATTGAGTATGAGGCCTGCGCTGATGTGGGTTTTTAACCCACTGCCGAATCATCGGTAGCGGTACACTGGTGTGTCGCTTAACTTCATGCTTTGACATTCCAGACTCACAAAGTGTAAGAACTCTTGTACGGACTGGTGTAGTCCATTCACCTCCAGGTGCTGTTTTGACCGGTGTTGTACGAGGCTCTGTCATGGTGGTTGGAATGTATGATGCTTGGCATTGGAAGGGAGGGGGCCACAAATTTTGTTGCCAAGATCGTACATCAACCTAAGCGTTATTGCAATCAGGACAGTGGTCTATCCAGAGGATTTTGAAGTAGTCTTCAAGTTGGATAACATCGCGGTTCAACAACAGTCCAACAACCTGTTATCGCAGCCTCACATTGAGTTCCAAATAGTTTGACATCGTCATGGTATTCGGATGGAGGACAGTGGTTAGATAAGGTTATCGAGAGCTGGTTCCATAGCCTGGTTTTCTTCATCGCTGCTTTCGAATTCCGATTCAAAGTATGGTGCCCAAAACCCATCCCTAGTTTCGAGTTCTGCATGCCATCGCTCAGTCTCTGGCATCTTAGGTGTCCAGCACATGGTGATGTAATTGATCGTTTGGGGTAGGGAATCGCTTGGGATGTTGTCTTTCTACCATTCATTCACCATATCCATAGCATGTTCTAGTCCTTCTAGTAGTTTCCAGCTATTTTTACTCATTGGGTATCCTTTCTATTTGACCAGGAACTGATCATTTCCATGTCACAGGTGGTAGTCTCGGATTTCTTCAACTTCCCACTCATCTTTTTTATCAATGATGATAAGTGCAGGTTGAGACTGGATTCTTCCAGGGAACTTGGAGTCGTCATTTGGGTAGAATCGCTTGACAGCAGAGACGTGGAAGACTGCAGTATTGCGGCGGTACATGCATCCATCGATTTGGACAGTGCAGTTTTCTGTATGCTCATCAAATGATAACACCTTGAAGGGTCCTCGCTATCAGGGTTGTAGCTTCTTGCTGCTTCCAACATTGGTAATGAACATGTTTCCATGTACCATGAGCATGTCACCAGGTAAAATAGGGACATGTTTGCATCGTCGCTTCTGAGCAGTAGTGGTGCTTCGGAATTGGGCAACTTTAACAGCTTGAAAGGCATCATTCTGAATTGCTTAATGGCGGTTTAGGTGGTCATCGGAGGCAGGGACTGAGGAATTCTTAAAGAGAGTTGTAGGTAGGAGAGCATATTGACGGCCGAAAATTGCCTTGTATGGAGACATTTCCAAGGTGTCTGAAAATCCGGCATTGATATATGCGGCAAGCTCAATGAGGGCTGGTTCCCAGTTAGCTTGCCCTTCATTGATCATATTCCTAATTCCAGTCTTGACTTCGTGGATTTTTCATTCTGCTTGGCCATTAGTCTCATGATGTCCAGGAGCAGCCATAATGAGGTTGATTCCGAGAGAGGTCAAGGTTTGCTTCCAGAATCTGGTGGTGAAACACGGATCAGCATCACTGACAATAGATAAGGGGTATCCATGGGGGGTAAATAGGTATTTTTGAAGGTTATTCCAGGTATCTTTGGAGGAATCGGTAACCTTCATTAGTATAAGCCATGTGTATCCAGAAAATTGATCTACAGTTACCAAGATGGTGTCATATCCGGTGGACTTATTGAATGGTCCTGCGAAATCGATGGCATAAGATTCGAATATTTCACATGGTAGCTGGAGGGTT